GACTGCTTTAAGTTTGACCCAAAAATCCCCCCAGGTTCTCCCGGGTTTAAAAACAGGGATACATAATTCTGGGAGTTTTGGTAGAGCCTCTACTTCCTTACTAGGTTACCAACAAATTTTTTACACCCTTTTCCTTCCCAAAGCCTTAGTTTTTTTCAGGGCACAAAGTTTTCCTCCATTCATAATGTTGATCCCGCAGCCGTCCCTTTTAATCATCTGCACAATTCTCTAGCAGCCTTTTTCAATCTTTAAACCACAATCATAGACTCATTCTATTTCCTTAAAGGGATCTAGGTGGCTTTTAAATTATCAGGGGTTTACCGTTTTTTGTCCCGAAAAAACTCCATACACTTTTTATGATTTAGTAACATGACCCTTTCCCACTTGTAGTGACGCTTTCTTTGCTTTTGGGATCCCTGGACTTGCCCCCGCACTAACTTTTTCCCCACCCCCAGGGTTTTGGGAATTAAAACCCCCTTAACAACTTAAATAGACCCTTGTGGGGGTAATTCTGCACTTTACTTTGTATAAATCCACCCCCAGTGCGGGAATTAATTGGGGAAATTTTCCTCCTCACACGACCGATTTAAAATTTTTGTACCCCATACCACTCCTTCAATCAGCCTTAATTTTTAATAAAAAATTCAATTAATTTTTTACTGATTGATGGTTCAGGAAGGACCACGGGGGAAAGTGGAAATTTTATGGGGGTTTCTTATGACCTCAACTTTTAAAAAATCAAATAATCTCATTTGGGGGACAAACCCTTTGTTTATCGTAGTCACCCCCCTGTAGACACGGGGCTTCCTTGCAGATGACACCCGAATCTGCATGACAGGTTTCCCCTTGCAGACACTGCAAAAACTCCAGGCAGACATCAACCAAAACTTTCATGGGCTGAGAAAAAAATATGAAGTTCAACATGAAAATTTTAAATTTCTCAATAGGTAAACAGAGGAAATTAAATCTTTATCAAGTACAAAACAAATTGGCCACAAAATAGGGCGAAACACCAACTCAAAGACCCGGATGTCATGTCGGAGGATCTCACCTTTAAGGGCCATAACATTGTATCAATCGCATCTGCTAAAAATGACAGGGTGGGTAAAGAGAACCTCAAAAAATAGGGGGGCCAAGCCCATGATGAAATCTTTTAGGTCACTTGTTTTTAGGCTGGGAAAATTGCTGCACATAACAGCACCTTTCAAGGGGAGGGGAAATTGCCCCACCTAAAAAGACAGAGAACTTTCACGGCCGATAACGGGATAAAAAACCCCAATTATTGGAGCGCTTTTAGGTTCCTAAAACCCGTATTCCCCGGAACCCGGAGGGAGGATACATATTATAACACCTGGAAAAAACCTAGAGGGATAGTACCGAACTTTCAACGAAAATCACTCATTAAGAAAACAAAAAATTGGGAACATGCACCATCCCCCCCTGAAAAACAGGGGGGTCACTAGCACTTAAGAGCCATACAATAAGGTCGGGGCCGAGGGCGTTCAACTGCCCCCCAGCCACATAAGGGGGGTTACCAAAAAGCCCCTGGCATCTTCAAACGGCACGGGAAAACACCTAAATCGTTCCGGATCAGCCAGGCTTGCTCGTATGTTGGTTTGCGTGCAGCCAGCAGCAAAAAGCCCGGGTTGTTCAGGCTCTGATCCACCAGGGGGCCTGGTCTCAGACCCGGGGCCCCGGGGGGTTGACCCCCGGGAACTCTCTCCCGGGAAACTCCAGGAAAAAAACCTCTGGTCACACAGTGGCCCTCGACCCTCCAATCTTTTCCCCATCTACCGAGACCAGTATAAATTGGGTGCACCCTCAAACCGGCGCTACTAATTAATTTTGGACGTATAGTTATATTAGTTTACTGAATGAAGGGGGGGTGGGGGGTAGGCACATGGTACATCCATCGGGGAAAAAATTTTACATAATCCCCCCACTTACCGATGTTTTTTGGTGGTCCTTTTATGTGCTGGATATCAAACCTATCCAATTAAACATACCAACTGGCCAGCATCAGTCTGCTAAACTAGAAAGGTTTCTTAACTGTGGGTGATTGATACTCATTATTTTTCCATTCCCCCATCTCTTTCGATGTCTGCACACCGACACGGTTCTTTATTCCGGGGGGAAGGTATCGGGGTTTTGTCCCGGTTTAGAAGTGTGATTCCAAAAAGCTTCATTGTCCTGGGTACGAGAGCCCAATTCATCGACGGGGCGATCTATTTACACCCCGCTTCTTTAACTCAATGTTATTAAAATGATTACATTACCTTCACAAGACGATTTAGCGTTCATAACTATAACTTTAGAGGTCCTCCATTAAGACTGAGGCCGATGAGCGGGGATTAAACACGGGTATTTCCCTGGACACACACCATGGCCCGTGCCCCTGCCCCCCGGGTCGAACATTATTCACAAATTTTTTACCCCCCCTTTCGGGGCCCCCCAAATATTTTTCCCCACTCTTCACTAGGGACATCACACGCCCCCATTTTAATTGGGGCCCTATATTGACCCCTTAGGGCCGTGAACGCCAGTTTCCTCATTCCCGGTTTTCTCAGCTCCTCCCCTTTCAAACACTCCCCCCACCCGCCCCCCCCCGCCGACCCCCCACCCCCCCGCACATCTGCGCGGCGCAGCGGGGGAAACCCCGTGTTTCTTAAAAAAGCAAATACAATTTGACCCAAAAGCACATTAAACATTTAGACATAAAGCGTGGAAATTAAATAATTTCCCAATATTTTCATGTATCTCTCCGCCTGCATTCCAGGGAATACATAAATACAATAAGGTACCTAAATTTCTGGAACGGTGAAGTTCCTTTTTAAAGTATTCCCCGGAACCAGAGAGAGATACAAAAAAATCACTTGGAAAATCCTAGATGGACTAGTCCCAAATTCCCGGAAATCATCCCATAGAGCAAAAACTCAGCAGGGGATGCAACATCCACTCAATGAAAAGCAGGGGCCCCTGAATACGCTAAAAGACAAAACAATAAATGTCAGGTCCCCAAAACTGTTCAATTGCCCCCCTTTCAAGAGGAGCTGGGCAGACACCGAAGTCAGTACCTGACCACCTTTGGGAGTGGTTTTAAGTTTTGGTTGGGGGGCGACCCGCAGTAACAGCCCGGTTGACAGGCCCCTGATCCACCGCGAGGCCTAGTCATGAGTGGGTAGCGGGAGCGTTCACCCACCACCCCCGGAATTCCCTCCAAATATACTACCAAGAAGTAAAAAAAAAAGGACCCCCAATGGAAATATTAGTCACTGACTTTTTTTTTTTAGTGGGTTATCCTAAGTTTTCTTTACACTTAAGGCTGCTATGTCTGATAGTGATCCTAGTGTAACTATTTTATGTATACCTGAATAAACCTACTTACTTATTAGCAATAAGTATAACAAAAGAAAAGCAACAGTTTGTTATGTTTTAGTGATTTGTTTGGGTTTGTAAGTACCGCGCGGGTATCTTCCACCGTAAGATGCCCTGCTTCCCGATGTTCGTAGAAGAGATATAATAATAGTAATATAATAATAATAACTTAATTTAACTCAAGTACATATTGCCGAGCCTGATGATGAAAGGCAAGAATAAACAAGAGTCCCTTCGTAAATGTACCACTTCTGTAATGTGCCCAGCCGACAAAGTTAGATGAGAGTTAGATGAGTCAAGTTAGATGAGGACAAGAGTGCCGGGAAAATTTGTCCCCGATACTCAGGTGAGAAAAACAAGATATCTACACTCCATGAAGACTGGCGCAGGTACTCATAAGTACAGTTATTATACATAATGTAAATTACTTAGGATAACCCAAAAAATGTCAAAGTGACTTATGTCCACTGTAAACAAGTTCTGCACTGGAATGGGTAAAGTGAAGACGTCTCACTATATCCACTTCCTTGAGCATCAGTCACGATTTTTCTTGCTTTCTTCCACAGGGAAGTTTGTCCTCATTATACATTTCCCACTGCTGGCCACCCACAACACCCAATTAACACCCTACCAGGTACCTTCTCACTTCTAGGTGAGTAGGGGCAGCAGATATAAGGAAACATGTCCTACATTCACATGCCGGGGATCAAAAGAGAGACGCTCAGTATGTGAGTTAAGTGTGCTGCCAATAATTTTTTACCAAGTTAACGCATGTTAGCTGTGTATTTACCATCGCTTCTAGCTTGAGCGTTTCCCATTAATTTAAAAGTAATACACCATACGCGAAAGGCGGAGCTAGGACTTTGGGGCCCAGTCCCTGGACTCATTATGTACCTTTTGGGTAATCTGTAAAAACATTTTAACCTTGTCATGGAATTGTGACCAAATCTACCTAATTCATTTACCTTTGTAACTTATTCAGCTATCTAACTTTTGGGTCCAGTCCCTGAGGACCATTTATGTACCTTAGTAATCTTTTGACTACCACCCACAGGATGTGTATGGGGTGCATAATAAACATATTAAACTAACTGGTCATGAGCCATTTATCAATTCCTCCTAGGAATTAAATAAACCCTGTTGTTGCTGTCTCAGAGGGGAGATTATGTATAATATAATAATAATAATTTCTTTATTTCTACAAGTACATGTACAAGGTCTACAGTCCTAGCTGACATCAATGACATACTACTATAAAGAAAGCCGCTTGTTATGCTGAAACATTTCGGGGCGAAATTAGTCAGTTTTGTCCCAGGAAGCGACCCACAACCATGTCGAATAAAACATAACACCCAGGTACCCATTTATACTGGATGTGAACATGGACAACCGGTGTAAAGAAGCGGACATTATGTTTTACCCCTGTCGGGAATCGAACCCGGACCCTCACCTGGTGAAGCGAGAGATTGCCACAGGAGCCACAGTGATAAATAGGTTTTTACCTGACCTAATTGGAAATATATTATCCCCGTATTGTTTTCAATAGAAAATTATTTCCTTTATTTCTGCTTATATTTGTCAATATACTTTCCTTTTTCTTCCAAGAAGCTGTAAATTTTGGTGCCCCTTAACAACCCCAACAACACCACCAACAACAACAAGAGCTCTTCTGGTCTCCCTGGATCTGTTTATTCCATTACTAGTCATTAAAGAATCAGTTCTCACAGATTATTCAAGATTCGCTGATAAATGTGGTAAGAAAGAATGTCGGTAGATACTTAATTTTATAAAACTTTTGTAATAGCGCTTAAAAATTGGATAAATATATAGGTCTTTCACGGCCATATTGAACTCTTTCTGTCCTTTGTTTACTTTTACTTTTCTCACCTTTACATTGTATTCATTATATTAATGGTAGACAGTACCCACAGGTTGGTGAGTAAGACACGTGTGTAACACCCGGGTATATTCATTAATGGAGACGTTTCACCCACCAATGTTCTTAGCTTCATGTTTTTCTTCATACAACAATGATCTGAACCATTTGTTTAATGTAAATAACTCAGTTTACCTTATCCCTAGTATATCTCCTTTTATTGTAACCATTTTTCACATAGTTGAGTTACTCAGATGTTTTAACTATGAAGGTGACAAAAGCTCTTGCTTCACACGTTGAGGGTCTGGGTTTGATTCCCAGCGAGGGTGGTAACACTGGATGTGTTTCCATACACTGGTTGTCTATGTTCGCCCATCAGTAAAATGGGTACCTGTTAGTCGACTGGTGTGGGTCGCATCCTGGGACAAAGCTGACCTAATTTGCCTAAAATGTTCAGCATAACAATCGGCTTTCTGTATGGTAGTATGTTATTGATGTCAGCTAGGACTGTATACCTCGTACATGTAGAAATGAATATATATTATTATGACCCTTGTAGGTTCAGCACTTCCTTTTGATTATAATAATAATTATATTATTATTATTATTATTATTATTATTTTTAGTAGTAGTAGTAGTAGTAGTTAAGTAACCCAATGGAATAAGTCACTATTCGAAATTTTTATGGTTATCACTAGTAATCTATACATATGCTGAAATGTATGATAATTAATGTAACTGTATTTATGTGTACCTATACCTGAATAAACTTATCTATTTCCCAGTGTATCTCTGTTACTTAAACCTGTTCTATTGGCAGATGACACAACTTTTGTCATCTCTCACACATATTTGTATTCCCTCAATAACACTGTTAATGAAGAGCTTATGAAGATGTCTTTCTGGATGATTAAAAATAAACTCTTAATATTGAGAGACCTTTTTCCATGATGTTTGGAAACAGAGCTGCAGATGTATTACTAAATATTTATGATTGATAGTAATCCCACTGCAAGACAAATTGAGGGAAAATTCTTAGTACGTACTGTACTGTGACAGCAACTTTAAATTCAACATCCACATCTGGGTGTCCTGTGGCCTGGTAGACTAATGCTCTCGCCTCACACACAGTGTCCATTGTTCAATCCTCAGCAAGGAAACATTGGACATGTTTCCTTACACCTACTATCCCCATTCACCTAGCAAGTAAGTAGGTACCTGGGTGTTAGTTGAATGGTGTGGGTCGCATCCTGGGGACAAGCGAAGGACCCCAATGGAAATAAGACAGTTCCTCTATGACAAACTGTCTTTCTTGTGTTATCCTGGGTGGATAACCCTCAAGGGTTAAAAATCAGAACAAAATCTTATCCAGTACATAACAAGAAGTCTCCAAATAAATTAGCATCTTCTCTGAGATAGTTGAAAATGTACTCAAAACAATACTACTTAACACTGTACCTCACCTACAATATTTTTGTTGTTTTGGGGATTCTACTCTAGAGCAAAGCAACCGAAACCTATAATAATTCAACAAAAACTCAGCTGTTATGAATGATTACTCAATCTAATGCCAGACAACACAACTCCCCCAACTCCCCCACTCCTCAGAAGTTTAAATTTAATTCAATGTGCATATATTCACTCATAATAGTTATAGGTGGTAGATCAGCAACCACCCCCAGGGATGTACTACCTTCTGCCAGAATGACTGTAAACAGAAACCTGGAAACTGATTTTGCATGATGGTAAGGATATGCGGTGTCTTTTTCTGTTCATAAACACGCTAGATAACAGGGATAACTTGCTACTTCCAACTTACACTTTGGTCCACTTCACAGACATGCACAATCATATATATATACATACATCTAGGTTTTTCTCCTTTTTCTACAAAGCTCTTGTTCTTCTTTATTTCTTTTCTCTATTTTCCGATGGGGAAGTGGAAATAAACTTTCCTCCAGTAAGCCATGCGTGTCGTAATGTGCGACTAAAATGGCCGGAGCAATGGGCTAGTAACCCTTTCTCCTGTAGACATTTACTACAAAAAGAGAAAAGAAAACTTTTTAAAACTGGGATGCTTGAATGTGCGTGGATGTAAGTGCAGATGACAAGAACAGATGATTGCAGATGTTATGAATGAAAAGAAGTTGGGATGTCCTGGCCTAAGCGAAACAAAGCTGAAGGGGGTAGGGAGTTTTCGGTGGGGGGAAATAAATGGATTAAAATCCTGGAGTACTGAGAGAGTTAGTAGCAAAGGAAGGGGTAGCAGTAATGTAGAATGATCATTTTTTTATGGAAGGAGAAAAGAGAATAGAATGAGTGTAAATGCAAGAATTATGTGGATTAAAGTAAAGGTTTGGATGCGAGAAGGTGGTCATAAAAAGCATGTATGCACCTGGAGGGATAGGAATGCAGAAGAGAGAGAGAAGATATAGGGAGATGTTAAGTGAATGTATAGGACCTTTGAACCATGAGAGAAGTAATTGGGTAGGACCTGAATGCTAAAGTAGAGAAACTATTAGTGAGGGTGTGGTAGGTAAGTCTGGTGTGCCAGGAGTAAATGATAATGGGAGCCCTTTGATTGAAACTTTGTAAAAAGTGGTTTAGTTATAAGTAATACATATTTTAAGAAAAAGAGGATATACTAAGTAATACAAATATGATGAAGGGCAAAATGACAGTAATTAGTTGGATTAAGTATTGGTAGATAAAAGACCCTTGATTAGACTTCAGGAAGTACAAGTTTATAGAGGGGCCACAGATATTATCAGTATCACTTCTAGTTGTAGCTACACGAGAGTAAAAGGAAGATGGGAACAATGAGAATAGGAGCAACAGGAAGAGAGAGGTGAAGGTTTAATAAACTAAAAAGAGAGGCATTAAGGGAAAGATATAAACAGCTATTGGAGGATAGATGGGCTTAATGAGAGCATAGGCGAAAAGGGGTCGAAGAGGTTATGGGGAAGGTTTAAAAATATAGTGTTTATAGTGTTTCAGCAGAAGTTTGTGGTTACAGAAAGTGGGTGCGGGAGGGACGAAGCGATTGGTGGAATGAAAGATGTAAAGATAGGAGTAAGGAGAAAAAGTTAGGCATATGAAAGTTTTTACAAAGTAAAGGATGCAAGGAGGGAAGAGTAATATGGAAAAAAGAGAGAGTTAGAAGTGGTGAAGCAACGTTAAAAAGAGACAAATAGAGAGTGGGTGAGATGTAGCAACAATTATGTTGAAAAATAAGAAAAAGATTTGGAGTGAGATTAACAAGTTAAGGAAAGCCTAGAGACACATGATTTGTCAGTTAAAAAATAGGAGAGGAAGTTATAAAATGGAGAGTTAGAGGTATTGGGAAAGATGGAGGGAATATTTTGAGGAATTGTTAACATGTTGATGAAGATAGGGAACTGTGATTTTCCGTGTATAGGGCAAGTAGGAATAACATTATGTAGGAGTGAGAAGAGCTGTTGTAGTATGGGGGAAGTTCGTGATGGCAGTAGGTAAAATGAAAGGGGTAAGGCAGCCGGGATTGAGGTATAAAGATAGAAATTTAAAAGCAGGTGGGATATAGTTTTTGGAGTGGTTGGTGCAATTATTTAATAAATGTATGGAAGAGGGTATGGTACCTAGGGATTGGCAGAGAGCATGCAAGTTCCTTTGTATAAAGGCAAAGGGACAAAGAAGTGCAAAAATTATAGGGGGATAAGTCTGTTTGAGTATACCTGGTAAAGTGTATGGTATAGTTATTATTGAAAGTATTAAAGTAAGACTGAGACATAGGATAGCAATTACAAGGAGGCTTTAGGAAAGGTAGGGGTGTGTGGACCAGTTGTTTTTACAGTGAAACATATAAGTGAACAGTATTTAGATAAGGCAAAGAAGGTCTTTGGTGGTATTATGGATTTTGAAAAGCATATGACAGGGTGATAGGGGGGCAATGTGGCAGATGTTTGCAGGTGTAGTGGTAGGAGGTAGGTTACTGAAAGCAGTGAAGAGTTTTATGAGGATAGTGAGGCTCAAGTTAGAGTACAAAGGAAAGAGGGAAATTATTTCCAGTAAAAGTATGCCTTAGAACAAGGATTTGTGATGTCACCGTGATTTTTTTTAATATATTTATAGATATGGTTGTAAGAGAAGCAAATGCGAGGGTCTATGACAAGAGGCGTGGAGTAAAAAGAATAAGAATCACACAGAAAGTGGAGTTTCCACAGTTGCTCTTTGCTGATGACACAGTGCTCTTGAGATTCTGAAGAGAAGTTGCAGAGATTGGTGGATGAATTTGGTAGGGTGTGCAAAAGAAGAAAATTAAAAGTGAATACAGGAAAGATAAGTTATGAGATAACAAAAAATATAAGGTGATGAAAGATTTAGGATACAGATTGAGGGAGAGAGTATGGAGGAGGTGAATGTATTCAGATAATTGGGAGTGGACATGTCAGCAGATGGGTCTAGAAGAAGAGTGAATCATAGAATTGATGAGGGAAAAGGGTGAGTGTTAAACACTTAGGAGTCTGTGGAGATCAAAGAACTAGTCCTTGGAGGCAAAGAAGGGGAATGTATGAGAGTATAGTTTTACCAACACTCTTATATGGGTGTGAAGCAAGGTGATGAATGTTCAGTGAGGAGAATGCTGGATGGCAGTGGAGAATGTCATGATCTGAGGGCAATGTGTGGTGTGAATATATTGCAGAGAAATTGTATGTTTGGAAGATAGGAGGAGGTGCGGGATTTACCAAAACTGTATGACCAGAGGGCTGTAGGAAGGGTTTAGTGAGGGTGGTTCGGACAATATAGAGAGAATGGAGTCGAAACAGAAATACTTCAAAGTGTATCAGACCTGTATGGAAGGAAGCGGTGTAGGGGTCACCTATGAAAAGGTTGGGAGGT